TTTTTTTTTTTTTTTTTTTTTAAGTGAGGAAAATCGAAACAAATAACCAATGGTTTGCTGGTTTCTCCAAAAAGGCACTATTGCTATCCACTGAAATGCCCAGCTTTATGCAGATTTCATATTTTCACTGATTGTTTAGATCAGGGCTATCAAAGATCCAAGTCATGAAGCCATGTCGTCTAGCCCATGGGGCTCTTGAAGGGGCCTGAAATTCAGGGGCAGGGTGAGTGTGAACAAAGCCCAGTGCTGAAATCCATGGTATGTAGTGCACTGGGGATCCATTTTCATGGTGGCAGGGCAAGCAACAGTTGTATTAATCCCCGTGGCTCCCTGAGCTAATATAACACTGTTCGCTTCACCATTGCAGCTGCTTGTCCCACTGCCGGAAGTGGGTCCAGATCTAGTTTGTCTGGATCCAGCCTGTAGAGAGCCCTACAGCCTGGATCCAGCCTGGGGGCCAAGCCCTGGTCCAGTCTTGCCTGCCTGATGCACAATACTGGCTTAAAAAGACCAATGGTTTTGACAACACCTAGATTTTCTGACAATTAGTAAATATCTCTATTAATGACACCATCTTGAAGTCTCAACAGAAGCCATGTCACCACTATGCTAGGTACTTAGTAAGAGATAGAAAAACTTACATTTTAACAGACAAGACAGAAGACAGAAGTATTACTGTAGCAAGGATATATATGGGAACTGAAGGCCTGGGAAATTAACTTGCCAAGACCATACAGACAACCCGTGGAGGAACTCACAAGTGAAACAAGACTGCCCAAGCCACAGGCTAATGCTGTACCCTCAAGACAATCCTTCCACTCACAAGGACAAAACCACTGCTCTGAAGAACGAAATATCAACAGGGTGGAGGTCTAAGTGGAACATTAAAGCACATTTCACTTCTGTGGAACGCAGCAGTATGTACAAAAGGATAGCAATCTCATTTTATTTTTAAACAAATCTGCCTTGCTACACTGCATACAAAATATTCCCTTGTTATCTCTAGGTGAGAGATTGGAATGTAAATGATCAGAGAACTAATTTCTCATTAAAAGTAACAAATAACGACGTACAGAATAACGATGGGGCTGGAGGGCGTGAGTTTGTCTCTAGTCACAGTAAATGTGGGAAGTTTGATGGCTCATGAGTGAGTATAAATATTTTTAGCATTTTGCCTGCATATAAAAATAAATATAAAATAATATACTCTTCCAATTGGCCCTCTTGTTGACAGCCTCAGCAGAGAGGCCTTAACTGGCTCCTTACCTGGTCTGGCAATAAGCACCTCAGCTTCCTCCCAGTGGTCACTTGTCAACTGGATATAGCTTTCCCACTAAACCAGACAAGCCTCTCTTTCCTGAATAAAACAAGCAAACAAAGAAAACAAAACAAAACAAAAATCAATCAATCTCAAGTCTGTGTAAACTTCTTCCCAAATTCCAGAACACTGAAAGGGGCTTCCTTCCTCCATCCTTCCTGGGAAAGCCTAACCATAAGCCAGTGCCCACTCCAAATCTCAAGCTCACACTACTAGTGTTCTCCCAGATTCTACCTAGTGTGTCAAAAACTAGTGGTAATTCAGTCCCAGGGCAGTCAATACAGATGCTTTCATCAAAATTAAAGTTGCATTTAAAAAGGGAAGAGAAAATAAAACATACAATATTTCAGAAGAGTACGTCACTGTGCCCCATCACAGTGCCAGATAATGCCTGCACTGGTTTATCAGGGCATGTCAGTTCATGCTAGGAAGTGCTGCCATGAACATGTGTCCTGACTACTAGCCCCTACACCATAAGTGCTGAATGCCTTTTAAAAAAAAAGTTATGCCGGTATCTGCCCAGGTGCACCCACTGTCACTCTACAGGAGGCAATGTGACATATTAGATGGAGTGTATTTTCATGACAGTACACTTGGCACCACCTGACAGTGCATATTGGGTTCATCTCTCCAAGCATACACTGGCTCCTATGCCAATGCCAGCTACTCCTTCCCTGCTGTAAGACAAACCCCTACAGTTCACAAACAACTGCTCAGCCTCTCAAAAGACACTTCTAATCACAAAGCAACCACTAGAATACCAACAAAATAAAAGCTGTAAATACTGAATCTATGATTCTTAAAAGCAAAAGAAAACAGGACTAGATGGACCTCCTGCGCCACTGAGTCCAGCCCCCATCTGATCAGCTTTCCTTTCATGCTATTTGGGACACCCTGGGATCTCAATCCTTATATTGTTTTATTTAGGGATCATCCCATGAAATAATAGGTAAGTTTCTACTCATAAATCACACCAGCCTCACATGAAAGGCACCTGACCCACCTGAGATTTGAACCAGGAACTTCAGATAAAAAAGCAGCACCTAAAACACTAAAGATAAAGGAGCTGTTCTCTTTTTTCCCTAGAAGACTGTAACGCCTTCCATCTTTTGGCAATGACACTATGAAAGGAGTCTGAACATCAGATAAAAATATATAGCAGGGCAAGCCTATCTCAGATGAGCCAGGGAGATGGCCTAGCCTCCTGAAACCTTACACCTCTTCTCCCATAATAGATTAGCATTTGCAGCTACTCCCAGCAGCTCACTGTACTGGCCAAGTGTTCTTTGGGAACTTGGAACAGAGATTTTTGAATACCTCTAGTTTTAGAAATAATATCCAAAGGGGGCTTGTGCATGGTGATGCTCATGGCCAAAAAGCAGGGGCAGAACCAAGTGGGTGCAGCGGTGCAGACAGACTCTCTCTTCCACCATTGCTGCTGCTGTTCCTGGCTGGTCTGAGTGAGTAGAGCCCCAGAACCACTTCTGTCTTGCTTCAGCCACAGGCTGCTGCTGTGCAGGGTGCCAGGCTTGGCAGGGGTTTCTCCTTACAGCAGCTGCTTCCTGCCCTCCCCTCCTCCCACAGGTATCCCCTACTGGCTGGGAGCAGGCCCTGGAAGGAGAAATGTACACACCACCGCTGCTGTCCCCACTGATGCAGGCATGAGGGGAGCCGCAGAACCACTCCTGACCTGGTCCTGACCCGTGCTGAGGGGAGCAGCTCTTGGGCTCCACTGGGGACAGTGGCAGCAGTGTGCAGGTTCTTCCTTTCGGCACCTGCTCCCAACCAGAGGGGAACACCGCAGGGAAGGGGGAGCTGAGCATGGAATGGGTGCTTGAAGGAGGATGCTGCATGCCACCACCACACCTCCAGCCAAGCCTGGCTCTCCAGCTGGAGCAGATCAGGAATGACTCTGTTTCCTCCCACCCTCCCACTCAGCCGGTGACAGCAGCAGGGGTGTTGGCAGGGGGCAGGCCCCCCTCTTCATGCACCTGCTCCCTGCCCAGCTCCCTGATGTCCTGCACCAATTTGGGGACTCCAGCCACATTTCACCCCATCCCTCCTGGTGCTTCACCACCACTCCTTAGCAAATCCTGGATCCATCCATATCAACAGAAGAGAAGAACTGTTATAATAAAACAGCATTCACTGTGTTGTGCTGCTTTTACCAAACAGGGCTTTTTAGTTCTAATTTTATTGTCTTCATTCATTTGATTTATCTTCCAAGTGGCAAGCAGTATCCTATGCACTGCTAGAAGCTCCACAGGTTAAAGAGACCCCTCACAAACCCAAGACGCCAGCTGTGGTGTGACAAATGAGATTTGGGCCTGATGCTGATAACTTTACCCAAGGTACAAGATTCCCATTGATTTTAGTCAGAATTTAGCTGCACCAGGAATACAGGCCGTCTTTGAAACAATTCCACTAATGATATAAATGAAAGCAAGTAACAGAGACATTTACCTGGCTCAATACATGAAACAGGAGATGAGACTGCTACCTTTGCATGTGATCAATGCCACTGGCAAATCACTGCCAGAGTGCAGACAGAGGTAATGATTATATTGGTGCAGACCACCCTAAAGCAATACCAATGTGGCAAAACCTTTCTAACCAGCTCTGCTTCCTTCATGGTTAAAGTTGCAGATATTTAATTCACTTTTATTGCTACAGGAGTGTGCAGACATAGCAGTCACATCCTAACAGTTGCTGTGCTCTCTCAAAAGGCAACTCCCCTGCTCCTTTTAAAAAAGTTAAAAGTTACATCTGGTCAGCCTCACACTATGTAGCAGAGACAGAACAAATACATGCTGTCACTCCTGGCAAAGTGGCATTGTTAATGATAGAGTTATTTTTTTTAAAATGTACTAACAATTAAAACTGGAAATTATAAAGCAGTACTAACTGATGTTTCACCTTTTTTTTTGCAATTTGCTGCCTGCTTATACTTCATTCAATTTGGGACTATAACCATAATATATTCCTGCCATACCCTTGGACAAATCAGCACAAGTCAAGAAGTCCCAGTGAAAGCAGATCAGAAATATTCCAAGTTTCTTTCAACAGAAAACTGTGAAACTGTTTGTGAAAAGGGGTCAGTTTCAACAAGTCTCTCAATTTGAAAAATAGTTTTATAAAGGCTGACATTACAGAAGTGACTTGTTTTGATATCTTCCAAATGGGGGGAAAAAATCCTTTTCAAATTGAAAATATCTTTTTTACTCAAACTCAAGATAAGGTTTTCTTTCCCATTTAACATAGGGAAAAATGCCCCTCATCTTGGAGGACACAGAAAACTGGACAAGAAAGAGCAAACCCATACAGCGCATTCAGACAAGCATACACATAAGGTTTGTGGCACCACAGCCCCATCTGCGGTGCTGCGAATTGCACTTGCCACACGTTGCACATGCTGCACATGCAGGTGTTTACCACTATTAATTTGCAGCACAGTGGGTTTTTTGACACCCACTGAATTTCTGCCAGAAAAAAGTGGCATGGTGCATGTGGCAGCAGCATGTGCCACCCAAAACCATAGCCTGGTCAGCCAGAGCTATGCTGTGGCTGCCAGACAGGCTCAACATGCCTGGATTGCCACGGCTGGAGCCCCAGGAGGCAATCAAAACCCCAGGTGAGGCTGCTGGAGCCAGCACAGGTACTGGCCGCAGCCTCAACTACCCCACCTGGGGCAACTTGCCACACACCAGAGCACATGTGGAGGGGCATTCCCCAGGGGCAAGTAGCAACAGCACAAATACGTGCCACTGCCATTCGTCTCCGGGAACAAGTTCCCGCTCATCTAGACGTGCCCTTTGGGTCTTTGGCAGCAGTTCCTAGCCGTTGGTAAAGACAGGGGATCCCACTAAGCTAATGTGTCACCAAATCATGCAGTGGAGCAGTGGCTCTCAGCCAGGATGTTGGGGCACTGAGTGGTGCCACCAGATCCTCTGAAAAGTGCCTCAAGCTGGGAGAAGATAAGCAGGTAAGTGCAGGCTCAGGCTTGTCCCTGCCTGGATGATTTTCCTCCCTCCCCACTGTCCAACCACTCTGCAAGGAGGTAAGCCATGTAATATATAAATTATTTTGTGAATTGAGTGGAATCCAATTACAATCTAAAAAGGTTGAGAATTACTGCAGTAGAGGTTTGCCTAAGAAGGAAAAAAAATCCTTTCCACTCATACATGTGCTATTTCATCCTACTGACAGAAGGGAACTGGAAAGGAAAAAGCCATCCTGAACATAATTATATCAGTACATCTAGGGTTATGGAAAAAAGCATTTCATGAACCTAAAACAAGAATATTAATATATTATAAAGTAGCAAGAACATAACAGATGCATCCAGATGAGCACACATGTGCAGTATGCAGCGCCACAGTCCTGTCTGCACACTGCTAATTTGCAGTGGGGTTGACACTGGGAGATCCTGGCATCAAAACCCCCCTCGCACCTTAGAAAAGCAGGGCAGCACACAGGACAGCAGCGTGCGCTGCCCAAAACTGGAGCCTGGCCAGCTGGAGCCACACACATTCCAACTGCTGGCCAGGCTCCGTGCTTTGGATTGCTGCAGCTACAGCCCCTGGAGGCCCTCAGGACCCCAGCTAAGGCTGCTGGGCCAGCACAGTTGCTGGCCTTACCCCATTCGGGGCAACATGCCATGCACCAGAGCACATGTGCACAGTCATTTCCTGGGAACAAGCAGCAACATCTTCAGAGCTCTTTTCCCCTCTCTCTTTAGTATATCAGATGCATATTCCAGCGTATTTTTTGTGCAATTTCTGAGTGGCTTTATAGTTTGATAAAAAATGAATCAGAACTAATTAACATCAGTATCAAGATTAAAACCAAGTCTAACCAAGATTCTGGTGCCTTGTATGGAATTATACTAAACTCTACATAATGAATGAGGACTAAAACTAGCATATGGCTCCAAGAGCTTGACTGTATTTGGTTAAAATAAGTCCTGCTCTAAAAAGCAGAGTTTGACATTTACTACCAGTCCTATCCCACTGTAGTACCTAAACAACCTCTGTAAGCTG